GGGGCAGCCCCGGGGCTGCAGCGACGAGGAGGACCACGGCGAGGAGCCCAAGGATGGCGCGGCCGAGAAGGACACGGACAGGGCAGCCTCCAAGGACAGCGGTGGCCCTGGTGCCAAGCAGCCCTCAGGTGGGTGTCTGGAGCCCTGGACGGGCATCACCTGGTGAGGAGGCCCAGCGGGAAGGAGGGGTGTGTCCACGGAACATGCCCGCTTCTCTCACTCTGGTTCCAGATATTGGCGCCAAGTTCCCCAGGGAGGACTCCTGCGGAGAGGGGGCTGGGGCAGAGCTACAGTCTAGAACGGGGAGTCCAGTTGGGCAGGCATCCGAGTGAAACCAGGGGTGAGAGGGGACCGGCCTGAGAAGGCAGCTTCCCTAGGGTGTGAGCGGGCCTGGGGGTGGGGGCTGCCGAACACACAGTGGGTCTTCAGGAAGCCGTGAGTGGAGGGATAGATGGGTGGACAGGCAGGCGGATGGACGGAGAGTGTGGGTAGACAACTACATGCGTGTGCAGAGAGGAGCCGGGTGGAGGACACGGTCACGGGAGCACACGCGCCCGCGGGCTGTCCACGGAGGCTGTTTCCCAGGGAGGTTTCTCCGCGTGGCTGTTGGACAGGCCTGTTCGCCCGCTCTCCCTTCCCTGCTCCCTGACGCCTTTCCCACTGTCTCCCCCCGCCCCCACCTTCTCCCTCCCGGGGACCCCGGCCATCCTCAGCAGGACCCCTCAGACAGGGCACAGGGCCTCAGGGTGGCCCAGCCCGAATGTCCCATGACACCTGCCTGCCCCGGACACGTCCTCTGGCCGACCTCTTCCACGAGGTGGCGGAGGCCCGGCTTTGGCTGATGTCTCCTTGTCCTTAGAGCAGCCCTGAACTCCTTCTGCTCTGGGGAGGGAGGGGGTCACCCCTAGGACTGGAACCCCAGGATTTGGGGTCTCGCTCAGCTCCCCAGCCTCCTTCCCAGGCCTGTGCCTGGTGCCGAGCCGCCCCTGCCCGCGCCCCTGCCCCCCTCCCCCTGCAGTGAGGGGCACATCCCCTCCCAGCGCGGGGAGCCCTGCGCAGCCACATAATTATGCATATAAGATATAAACAGAGCTGTTTAATTATCCTTCGCCACATCAGTGACAGAGTAATTAACAAACATTGCAAGATCAATGAGGAAAAGTGTGACCTTCAGCTTCCTCTGATAGGAAAAGCCCTTGCCTTTCCCAGACGCAAGGTGATTGCGCGGGGCCCGAGGGGAGGAGAGAGGAAGAGGGGAGGGATAGGACCTCTGTCCCTTCAGCGCCCCAGCCCCTCCCACGCCCAGCTCTGTCCTGCCCAGCTCGCCTGGACCTCTGCCTCCTGCCTCCTGTGCTCCCGGGAATGGAGAGCCGGTGACAGGAGGCGGGGCGGGAAACACCAGTAGTCTCATGGCCCAGGCCTCACCCCTCTGGTTTGAGGCCCCGTGGGACTCCGGTGTGGCCATGAGAGAGCCCAGGGCTGAGCGACCCACTACGGGCTGGGCCCCGGCCGCCCTCTCTGGGCCCAGGCCTGTGGGCTGACTTGGGACCCCGGCCTGGCCCCCTCCCTGCTCTAAGCCGCCTGCCCTTCACAGCCTTCTGTCTCTCTGCCATATATAGTGAGGGCTCAGCTGCCTCCAGCTATTTTTAGGCCCTTTCCCTGGTCCCTGAGCCACTGAATCTGACAGCAAGAGCCCACTCCCCCCAGGCTGGGCCCCGGCCTTGGAGCTTACGGTCAGGACAGCAGCCCACAGGCCACTGCCCCACCCCACCCCCACCCCCAGGGGGACAGCTGTCTGTCCGCTCTTGAGCCACTCTGCCCGCCTCAGGTGCTGCCCATGACTGTCTCCTCCTCACCTGGGGGTGGGGGGTCCCAGTCCTCCCAGGACTGCCCCCCCTACCCCCCGCCCCCGGAGCTCAGAGCCTCTCCCTGCACATCTGGCTGGGTTTTCTCTTGCTCCCAAGCCCAGTCTTGCCCTATGAGACCACCTCCAGGTGTGGTCTGAGAACTCCAGCCCCGGCAGGTTGGCGCGGGGATCGGGAGGAGACCCCCATCTGCTACGCGGCCAGAGTCCTGCGCCTCCCACCCTGTCTTTAGCCACATCTTCCCCTGACTGTGCTTCTAGGCCCCGCAGCCTGGGGCCCTACCACCCTGAGTGTGCCCGCCTGGGTGTGCGGGCTCTGACACAAGTGGGGAGACAGAAACGTCCCCTGGGGCCCATGGGGGTCTCACCCTCCCGTGTGCACCCACCCCTGGTTCTGGGCAGAGCACATAGTAGGTGTTCAGCCAGCATTCAGCGAAGGAAGGAATGTCTTGTGCGAGCGGAGGGGTCACCTGTCTGATGGGGTGGAAGGTCGTGTGTGGAAGGGAGGGGTCTCCAGGGAAGAGCCCCGAGAGGGTCGTATCATCTGACCTCCGCATCCTGAGATGAGTCTCGGGGAGCTGGGCGTGGCGTTTGGGTGGTTTGTGTACGTGTGTCTGTAAGTCAGGAAGCGGGCAGGGATGTGAGGTCGATGGCGAGCGTGTGTGCACGTGGTCCCCTGTGGGGGTTGCTCGGGTTCTCCGTGTCCCTGGCGTGGACTCGGGTGGGGCAGACATGGGTCACACCTGGGCCTGCTGCCTCTCTGGCCCCGACTCCGCGGGTGGCCACCTTGTGCACGAGCGCGTGCCCAGAGGACTCACAAGTCAAGCGAGCGCACCAAGGCTCTCTGCCCTCAGCCCTGTGTCTGGGATCATTAGGAATCGGGGGCTCTGGGCGGGGCCACCAGGCCAGTCCCCCCCAGGGGTAAGGGCCTGTATGTCCATTTGTGGGGCTCGGGGAGGGTCCTCGGGCAGGCCCAGCCAGGCGCACCCCAACCCCACCCACGGAGGCTCCCTCAGCCGCCGGCCCACGTCCCACCTGCCCGGCCCTGTCCCCCCACCCTTCAGGCAGGCTGGGCTCTGCCTTACTTCCAGTAAAATGGCTTCGTCTTCATATTAGGCCAAGGCGAGAGCGGAGACATTTATGAAACTTTGTTTAATGTACTGAAAAGCCATCGGCCAGAACATTTAGGAAATTGATTTTCCTGGCATTGATGAACTCGTTTTATTTTACCCCAGTATTAATTACTTTTTTTTTAAACAAATTAATTTAAGAGTCGTAAAACCTAACAAGTGAGCCAAATGTCCATAGATCATGTCCCGCTCCGCCCCTCCCCACACCGGCCCCCTCCCTCTGCGGGTGGGGGCTCCTGCCCTTGGGGGGGCTCCCGTCCCCTGCTCCCCGGCTCCCTCCCAGAGGTGACCGCCGTCCTCTCTGCCGTAGGAGAGGCCTCCTCGCTGCGGGACTACGCGGCCTCCACCATGACCGAGTTCCTGGGCATGTTCGGCTACGACGACCAGAACACGAGGGACGAGCTGGCCAGGAAGATCAGCTTCGAGAAGCTGCACGCAGGCTCCGCCCCCGAGGTGGCCACCTCCTCCGCGCTGCCCGCCGGGGAGGACGCCCTCAGCAAGCGGGCGCGTTTCTCCAAGTACGAGGAGTACATCCGGAAGCTCAAGGCGGGCGAGCAGCTCTCCTGGCCGGCCCACGGCACCAAGGCCGAGGAGCGCGCGGGCAAGGACTCCCTGGGCCCCCTGCCCGGCCTGCGGCTGCCCAGCCACACGGCGCACCTGGAGACCAAGGCCACCATCCTGCCGTTGCCCTCACACAGCAGCGTCCCCATGCAGGGCCTGGTGGCCCGGGCCTCCAAGTACGACTTCTTCATCCAGAAACTGAAGACGGGCGAGAACCTGCGGCCCCAGAACGGGAGCACCTACAAGAAGCCGTCCAAGTACGACCTGGAGAACGTCAAGTACCTGCACCTCTTCAAACCCGGGGAGGGCAGCCCCGACATGGGCGGGGCCATCGCCTTCAAGACGGGCAAGGTGGGGCGCCCCTCCAAGTACGACGTCCGGGCCATCCAGAAGCCGGGCCCTGCCAAGGTGCCACCCGCTCCCAGCCTGGCTCCTGCTCCCCTCGCCAGCGTGCCCAGTGCTCCCAGCGCGGCTGGGCCGGGGCCCGAGCCACCTGCCTCCCTGCCCTTCAACACTCCCGAGTACCTGAAGTCGACCTTCTCCAAAACAGACTCCATCACCACGGGGACCGTCTCCACTGTCAAGTAAGGCACGCCCCTCCCCGCTGCCTGCCCCCCGGGCTACGGCCCTGCCTTTGAAGCGCACGTCTGTGGACACACACATCTGCTATGCACTCGTACACTCTAGGATTCTCACGCATGTGCTGCTGCTCACACGTGTGTGCTCACACACACATTCACGCGTGTCCCTCTGCCCGCGTGAGCGCTCATGCCCAGTTCAGGGGCCCACACACTACACGTCTTGCTGTACACACATACCTCACACTGGGCACTTGTGTGCATGTGCTTTCTGCTAACACACATACCACAGGCTCCTGCCACCCTGTTTGCCTGTAACTGGCTTTCCCTCCTGCCACCCCCAGGCCCAAATACAGGCTGAGGGAAGTCCGGGGGGGGCGGTTCCGGAGTCCAAGCTGGTGGCCATGGCTCCTGGGTCCAGAGCCTGGGCCACAGGGAAGGCAGCAAGAGAAGGCAGGAGGCTGGGGAGGGAGCGGGCACACTCAGCCCTAACCCCCGGGCCAGTGGTTTTCAGCTGCTGCGCCCCAAGAATTTTTAAAAACATGCAATAGCCGACTCTTTAGTCAGGAGCACTGACCTCTTTTCCCTGAGTTTGTCAAATAAAAAAATGACAACGGCCAACACAATAGTCGTGGTGTGAAATGAATCGAAGTGATACCTAGTTTTTTGTGTCAGATCGGCAAAAAGTGTATTTTGGCGTGTGCCGCAGAGTTTTAGTAAGTAGCTTGTGTGTGCCCCGAGATGAAAAAGGTTGAAACCGTTGCCCCAGCCAATGGTAAAATGACTGGTCACGGATGGTGGGGCTGAATGAGACCCTCTCCCCCGAGATGGGGCCACGCACCTGGGAGCGGATCTGGGGAGCCGCCTGCCCTCTGGGGCCGGTCTTGCCCCTTCCCCTGGGGATGTCCCTGTGGTACCTGGCACCCCTCCTCAGCCAGCAGCCTCCTGACTCCCGGGGTGTGGGGGGGTCAGGCCCAACTTCTGAGGCTCCTGCCGGTTAGACGAGGCCAGGCCCGTGCCCGAGGCGGAGCCCCCCGGCCCTGCCGCTCCGAACTCCTGGCTGGGTCTGAGCTTGTTGAACCCAAGCCAGACATTCGGCATGGGACTCGCTCAGTCCCACCCTGAGTGCCTCAACCACCGAGCGAGGGAGCGAAGGGCCAGGCCCCAGGGCAGGGAGCTGCCTCCCAGATGCTCCTGGGGCATGAGGCCACCCCCTGTCCGCTAATCGGCTGTGCCCTGTGTCTCTCACCAGGAACGGATTGCCCACAGATAAACCAGCTGTCACCGAAGATGTAAACATTTACCAGAAATATATTGCCAGGTAGGTCCCTGGGGAGGAGACTGCCACGGAGAGCAGGTGGGGGGGCACCAGGAATGCCTGGGGACTGGGACCAGATGTCCATACGACCACGAGTGCCAAGGTGCCTTCCCATCCCCATACACTCCTGCCCCATCTCAGAGGCCCTGCCCTCGGGGTGGGACCCGGGCCACAGCTTGTACCCCAGGCAGGACAGGGTACCTGAAGGGGCCCAAGGGCAGGGCCTGGCCACAGGTGAGTGTAGGGCCCCTCCACAGCTCACACGGGGCCCTGGGTGGGTGTGGGCCCCCGGAACTGGCCAGAATGCACTCGCCAGGCCAGGCCTGGGCCCTCACCCCCTGACTCCAGACCTGTCCCTTTACACCCTTAAGGCAGCAGGACTGGCAGGTAACCTTCCCCTCAACAGATTCCCCAAGTCAGGGCCCTGGCTGCCAGCGCCTGGCAGGGCAGCACATGGCAGGGTCGTGCCCGGCAGCTGCCTTTCTGCTGATCTTCCAGGTTCTCCCCGTCCCTCTCTGTCTTTCCAGCTTTGCTCTGCTCTCTTTATTATTATTATTATTATCATTATTATTAGCGCCTCAGCAGATGGCCCTTTTGGCAGCTTCAGCTTAAATATTTATTTGCAAGTGGTTCTCCCCCTGACAAGGGGGCCTCCTCTCACTCTCCCGCCGTCTCTCGCCATCCCGGCCGGGCAGGCGGGCTGAGCCTGCCACCTCCTCCGCAGTTGTCATGGCATGTTCTCCCCAGGGTGGCCGTCCCCGGGGCTGGGAGAGCCACGCCCGGCAACATCTCGGCCTGGAGACGGCCTGGGGTTTCAGGGAGGTGGGCAGTGGCCAGGCAGCTGGGGCTCCTGGCTTCAGAGTCGGCTGGAGAGTGAGCTCCCCGCCTCGGGAAACCAAACAGATGCTGTGCGTTAAAAATTCATAGCTCTGCCCTGTTTCAAGTGTCAGGAAAGCCCAGGAAAGAGAACTGTCTAGCTGCATCTCTCGGCAATAGAGCCCTGGCCCAGCTCAGCGGGGTCCCGGCACCTGGCCCAGTGCTGGGCGGTCGGCAGCACCTGCACAAGAGGCAGTTGGGCCACCGTGGGGGCTCCTGCCTTCCCCATCCCATCCCATCCCATCCGGGTCTCTGCTCCGTCTCTGCTCTGACTTCTGGCTGCCCCAGCTCCTTCCTCTCCACTTTGGTGCCAGGCCTCGGTGCCTTCCCTGGCACTCACTCCCAGGGGAGAGGGACTCCCCGGGCAGATGGCTCTAGGCTTCCTGATGGGCTCAATTGCTTGTCCTGGCCTCCTCAGGCTTCCACCCCTCCACCCCTGCAGACCACCTCTGCCCTCCACACCCCCACACAGGGCCCGGCACTTCTCGGCGGCACAGGCATAGACTCCTCCTGGCTGCTTAGGCCCGGTCCCCTGGGCCTGGCCCCGGAGAGGTCTGAGCCGACCCCTCCCCTGCAGGTTCTCGGGCAGCCAGCACTGCGGCCACATCCACTGCGCCTACCAGTACCGCGAGCACTACCACTGCCTGGATCCCGAGTGCAACTACCAGGTAAGGCCCCTCGGTCACCGCCTGCTCCTGTGCCAACGGCCACGGGAGCCTCTCCAAAGTGGGATGGGAGCTCAGTTCTGCCCGGGCTGCCCGGACTTAACTCAGGGAGGCAGAGAGGCCAGAAAACCACTGGCCTGTCCATGCACCCAGACCCCTGCCCACAGGCATCTGGTAGGATCTGGAGCCATCTGCAACCTGGTGCTAATAATTCAAATGCCCACTCACGGCGTCTGCCTTGCACCAAGGGCTGTGCCAGAGCCCAAGCACCTTACCTAATTGATCTTCCCAGGGAATTATGAGGTTGGCATTACTGCCCCATTTTACAGATGATAACATTGAGGCTCAGGTCCATTGTCACTTCTATTCAAAGTCACCCGCTGGTGAGTGCAGAGCTCGTGAAAGTGATGGGAGTAAGGGCAGTCTGCCCAGGGCAGTGATGGCGAACCTATGACATGCGTGTCAGAGGTGACACTCGAACTCATTTTTTTGGTTGATTTTTCTTTGTTAAATGGCATTTAAATATATAAAATAAATATCAAAAGTATAAGTCTTTGTTTTACTATGGTTGCAAATATCAAAAAATTTCTGTATGTGACACGGCACCAGAGTTAAGTTAGGGTTTTTCAAAATGCTGACACGCCAAGCTCAAAAGGTTCGCCATCACTGGGCTAGGGGCTGCTCCCTTTGCCTCGCCAGGGAGCCCAGCCCGGCAGAGCCCATCGGTGGCTCTGGGCAAAGTGTGTCCCTCAGAGCCCCTGCCTTAGAGGCTTGGTCCAGTTCATCCTCTCTGCTCCTGGGCATGGCTGTCGGGAGCCTGAGGGGAGGTCAGGGCAGAGTCTGTGGGTCTGGAACCTTGGAATTGTTCCCTCCAGGGTCCCGTGTGCCAGCCTTGGGGCAGTCTGGGCTGCCCGGACCCCACGCAGGGTTATTCACAGGGAGGCCTGAGGAGCCCGGGGCCAGCAGCTGGCCTGGCGCTCTTGGCCTCTGGCAGGCCGGCCAGGCTCCCGCCAACCCGCCGCCCTCTCCCGCCAGAGGTTCACGAGCAAGCAGGACGTGATCCGGCACTACAACATGCACAAGAAGCGCGACAACTCCCTGCAGCACGGCTTCATGCGCTTCAGCCCGCTGGACGACTGCAGCGTCTACTACCACGGCTGCCACCTCAACGGGAAGAGCACCCACTACCACTGCATGCAGGTGCCCCCCGCCCCCACCCCCGACAGGGAGCCTCCCTTCCTCCCATCCCAGGTCCCAGCACAGGGAGACGGGGGGCAAGTGGCGAGTCCTGGGGGCTCAGGCTCAGGCGGCGGCTGGTGGGCCAGGGCGGGGCCTTCCCCATGGCCATACTTGGTGTGGGTGAAATTCAGCGAGCTGTTTATACAGACCGACATTTTTCAGGCTTTAACACCAAGAGCGGCATTGCAAATGATTCCTGAGGAGGTTTTTGTTTAATTCTTTGTTTTAATGCCACGCAGAGTCTGGGCTTTTTCAAGGTGTCAGGTCCAGGGGAGCGACTTTGGGTTGCAAATAGCAGCCGCCGTGCCTCCCCCGGTATTTGTCAGGGGGTTGTTATGGCCTCCGTGAGACAACCTGGGCCCGGGGGAGAGGGGGGCTCGCTCTCTGGGCTCTGAGATGGTGCAGACACTGGCACGGCCCAGCCTTCGCTGGTGTTCAGATTCCACTGGTTTTTACTCGATATGGCAACGTTGCCTGCCTTGGCCCAGCTGGGGTGGGAGGGGAGGGCCCTGTGCCAGGAACCTGCTGCTGAGCGCGTCCCTGGGCTAAAGGTGACCGCCAGGCCCCCGGGTCCGGCCTGCCTACCCCTGGGGGCTTTAGAGGTGGAGCCACAGATTGGAACTCCAAACCCACCCCCTGCAGGAAGGGGCTCCCACGCCTCTGCCCGGGATGTCCTGGGTCCCAGAGGGCAACCTGACCCGCAGCACAGGCAGGGCCAGGCCCTGAGGCCTGCCGGGTCGTGAGGGGTTCTCTGTGCGCTCCCTGAGTTACCCTCGGGCCCCCAGCTGGGTGTGTACAGGTGCAGACGTGCCCTGAGCAGGGAGGCCAGCGGCCCAGGCCCCCAGGCTCCGGCTGCACCCATCAGAACAGCCGCTCTGGCCTTGCCCGGGGTGCCTGGCCCGGGTTCCCCTGACAGCCATCCGACCCCCGCAGGTTGGCTGTAACAAGGTGTACACGAGCACGTCGGACGTGATGACGCACGAGAACTTCCACAAGAAGAACACGCAGCTCATCAACGACGGCTTCCAGCGCTTCCGGGCCACCGAGGACTGCGGCACGGCCGACTGCCAGTTCTACGGGCAGAAGACCACACACTTCCACTGCAGGTACCTACCTGGGAGGCTGCCCAGGGAGGCTCGCCGGCCTCGGGGAGGGACAGAAGGCTGGAAACCAGGCCCCAGGGGCGGCTGGGGGCCCTGCGTCCTCACAGGAGCAGGAACAGCAGAGAGGGCGGCTCAGAGGCCCCGTCTCGATGTCCAGGCTGGTGGGAGCAGGGCGGGGCCTCCTCCCGGCCCCACGTGGCCCCGTGACAGGCTCCCGATGTCCCATCCAGGCGCCCCGGCTGCACATTCACCTTCAAGAACAAGTGTGACATCGAGAAGCACAAGAGCTACCACATCAAGGACGACGCCTATGCCAAGGACGGCTTCAAGAAGTTCTACAAGTACGAGGAGTGCAAGTACGAGGGCTGCGTGTACAGCAAGGCCACCAACCACTTCCACTGCATCCGCGCCGGCTGCGGCTTCACCTTCACCTCCACCAGCCAGATGACCTCGCACAAGCGCAAGCACGAGCGCCGGCACATCCGCTCGTCGGGCGTGCTGGGGCTGCCGCCCTCGCTGCTGGGCGCCAAGGACACCGAGCAGGAGGAGTCCAGCAACGACGACCTGGTGGACTTCTCTGCCCTGAGCAGCAAGAACTCCAGCCTGAGCGCCTCCCCCACCAGCCAGCAGTCCTCCGCCTCCCTGGCCACCGCCACCGCCACCGCCGAGGCCGTGCCCGGGGCCACCAAGCCTCCCAACAGCAAGATCTCCGGGCTGCTGTCCCAGGGCCTGCCCGGCTCCATCCCCCTGGCCCTGGCCCTCTCCAACTCAGGCCTGCCCACCGCTGCCTCCTACTTCCCCATCCTCCCGGGCAGGGGCAGCGCCTCCCTGCCTGTGGGCACCCCCGGCCTCATGGGTGCCATGTCGTCCGGGGCAGCAGCCACGGCGACACCCGACACAGCCACTCTGGGCGCCTCGGGAGCTGGTGACTCAGCCCCCGCCACCGCCACTGCCGCTTCTGTCTCGGTGCCCCCCGCCTCCATCATGGAGAGGATCTCTGCGAGCAAGGGCCTCATCTCGCCCATGATGGCCAGGCTGGCCGCGGCCGCCCTCAAGCCCTCTGCCACCTTTGATCCAGGTGAGCAGGCTGGGCCCTGCCCAGGAAGCAAGCACCTTGCAGGCCCCGGGAGCTCCCTGGCCTCGGGTGGCAGAGCAGAGTGGGGGGGTGTGTGGCAGAGGCATCTTCCTGCTCCCTACACCCAAGTCCCCTGCCCCTCGAGCCCCCGTCTTTGCCTCGTCTCTGCCTCCATCCTGTTTCTTTCCTACTTGGGGCCCCTCATTCTGACCGGCCCACCCGAGGCAGCTCTTGCTTCTGACTCCTCATCTGTGAAGTGGGGGTGCCTGGCTGCCCCCCGCCCTGGTCTTCTCCCACCAGCCGCTGCCAGGAGCAGGCCCTGAGTCCCAGTTCCCTCCAGGTGGCGTGGCGGGGACAGGAGTCCAGCCCCGTGGCGGGTGGCTGCACTTCAGGAACACGTGGGGAGATTCATGCCCAGATGGCCCCCGAGGCTGCGAAGGCCCTTCCCAGCTCTGCTCAGTCCGCCCGCCCAGTAGAACTTTCTCCACCAGGGAACGCCCTGACCTGCGCTGTCCACACGCAGCCCCGGCACAGGCGGCTGCTGAGGGTTGGAGTGGCCGGTGCAGCCCAGGGACTGGGCGCGTGGCATTCCTTTCATTTCAGCCTCACCATTGGCTCCCTCGTGGGGGCCGGGGAGCCGGTCACATCTGTCCCCCCGCTGGCCCACCGGGAGGGGGGCCTCCTTTCGCTCACGTTTCCTGCTCTTTTACAATTGTTTCTGCTTCTCTCCTCTGGAATATTTTGGTTTTTCTGTGTCCCTCACACCTCTCCTTTTCCCACTTCCGGGCGATTAGCATTAGTCAAATCCCTGAGAAGAGTTGGCTCAGGTCTGGGGCGTGGCTCAGTTCATTCACTCATTCATTCATTCATTCATTCATTCGACAACCCCTGGTGCTTGCTGAGGCCTGGGCGCCGAGCGGTGCCAGGCGCGTGGCAGGGAAGAGGAGAGGCAGAAGCCCCGCTTGTGGAGCTGACGGAAGTATGGGCTGGTCTGTGCCCGGGCACAGAGCTAGGAGGAGGCGAAGCTGAGCCTCGGACCCCAGCAGTCCGGCTCCTGAGCCTGAGCACCCACTTCCCCGCGAGACTGTCTTGCGATCGGCCATGACTGAGGGTCCCTGTGGCCCATAACTCCCCCCCCAAGCCCCCCGAGGGCTGCCAGTGCTTGACAGGGGGCGGGCCTTCCTGGGGGACCTTGGGCAAGTGACTGGAGAACTGCCGGAACGTGGACACCCTGAGTTCTGAAAACTATAACGTCCCCAACGGGACGCTCCTGTGAGCCGGGGTGGGCCCCCCTCCTGCAAGGCCACACTGGGCTCAGCGGCCAGACTGTCAAGTGCTTCCGTTTCAATAGAAAAATCTCCTTTCCCCAAAAGAAAGGTCAGGCCAAGAGGAGAGGGCTCGCTTTCCTTACTTTTTAATAAAATGCCACTTGCTGTCTGAAGCAGCTCTCTGTCAGCTGCAGCGCCCGGGGGCAGATTAATATTTCAGTCACTGGGGGATGATGGAGGAAGGCTCGGCGGACACGCGCCTGTCAGCGACTTCTTGTGCCCCTTCTCGGCGTGGCCTCCCGAATCCTCTGCCCGCCCGGCCACGTCCACACCCCACGGCTCCCACCGACCGGGGCCGCCCAGCCTCATCTCCGTCCTGGACAGCTTGACGGGCGAGGTCACACAGTTTGAACCGCCCTGATTGGCTGTCAGCTCCCATCGCCCTGACCCGGCAGATGCCCCTCCTAGGCATGCTCAGTGCAAGGCAGGGCCGTCGCCCCGGCAACAGTGGGAAGGGGACCCGCGGAGGGGGCGCCGCTCCCAGTCTAGATCTGCCACTTCCCCTCAGCGTTAACGGAGTCTTTAATAAAAGCCTAAGCGGCAGCCCCACAAATTGGCTGTGACAGTCGGTGGAGAAAATGAAGGGCCCCCACGCCCGTCCCGGCCCCCTCCCCAGCCTCCCGCCCTGCTCATCCAGGAGGCCCTGAGCCTGGACAACTTTGACATAATTTTGCAATAATTATCACTTGAAGAATTGCCACACAGGGGGACGCGTCACCGGCGATCACGTCAGTGGGGAGAACCGCTGACCGGCAGCCAGGGCTCCCGGGGGGCCCCAGCCCACCCGGCACGCTGCCCTCCCTCCGGGGGTTCCGGTGGGCGCCCATAGGCAGCCCTCAGCCCCTCTAACGCCGTCTTCCCTCCCCTCCCCTATAGGAAATGGGCAGCAGGCCACCCCCGCCAGGTTCCCCCCGGCCCCGGTGAAGCAGGAGCCTGGTGAGAACGCGGGTGCCCCAGGTTCCCACGAGGCCTCCCAGGACCGCAGCTCAGACCTGATTGTGAAGGAGCCCAGGTGAGGCGAGGCCGGGGCCTCCCTGCTCTGCTCCCCTGCAGGAGGCGCAGGGGACAGCTCCCTCCGAGCCAGGCCCCACCGGGCACAGGGGCCAAGCCCTCCTGGCAGGGGGTCCGCTCCCTCCTGGCAGGTGCAGCCGCTGGCCGGAGCCCCAGGGCCGGGCTGGGAGGGATGAGGCTCCGGGCTCGGTCCCACGTCCGTCTGAGCTAAAGCCCCTTGGTTTGTGTGTTCCAGTAATGAATCAAATGGCCACGCAGTCCCGGCAAATTCATCTCTTTTATCCTCGCTTATGAATAAGGTAAGAACCATCCATCACACGCCTCCCGTGCCCCCGCCCGGAGAAATTAAAGCTGCGTTGGGGGGTGGGGGGGATGTGTTTGTTTTTTAATGTTTTGCCTCTAATAAGATGAGTTTGTACCATTTAAATTTTGAGGCCATTTTTCATCGGATATAATTTCAGAGCCACTGCTTACAAATTAATTTAATGAACTGGCTGAAGAAATATATCCCAGCCTCCGACACCCCGTTCTCCCCTTCAGATGGAGGGCTCCTAAAGCTTCTCCGGAGCCCTCCAACTTCCCCCGCTGTTAGTTATTCATTTCAATTATTTATTTTATATATTTTGTTTTGTTTGTTTAAGAAAGGGTGGGGGAGGGGGGCCCCAGTGGGAGCAAAGCATCAACCCCCACTTTTCGGGCTGAGTGATGGTCTCGGACGCCTTCTGCAGAGGTCGCTCGGAATATTTATTTTAAATAATGCAGGGTCTTTGTAAATTATACATCATCTCAAATACATTCTCCCCCTTCACGTGATAAATTTGACTACAGCGAGATTAATTTGGTTACTGTACACAAGTGACTGTTGAGGAGGGAGCCGGGCCTCGGCCAGACCTCACGGGTGGGAGTCCTGGCCTGGCCCTTGGCCGGGAAGGAGCCTCCCGCTTTCCTCTGCCCTCTGCCCCCTGCCCCCTGCCCAGCACCTGGCGCCTCTTCCTTCCCTCCCTCTCCTGGTGGCTCTGTGCTCTTCTCTTTCCTCCTTAGGTCACTGCCCCCTGCACCCCCTCGTCCCTTCCTGTCGGAGCCTCCGGCAAGCGGCAAGCCTTTGCGTGCGCACACGCGTGCCCTCCCCCTCCTCGCCCAGCAGCATCCAGCTGTCTCCATCTGACCCCAGGAGCCCCCCTCCCTCCTCGCTGCTCCTCCTTTGTGTGCCTTCTCTTGTTCTCAAGAAATTCGTAGGGGTTCCCCACCTCTCCTCCTCTCGCACTTCTTTTGAAAACCTGGCAGGAAAATAGCGAGGGAGCCTCGGAGTCTGGGGAAAGCTGGGCTGGAGCGTGTGCCCGCCCGGGGCCCAGCAGCACGGGGTGTGTGTGGGAGCCCTGGCCTCTCCGAGGGCCGGGCTGGGCAGCGTCCATTCAGAGAGGGCTCTTCACAGCACTGCCGGCTCTGGTCGGTGTGAGAGGCCCAAGGGGTCCAGAGCTACTGCCACTCCCAGGGCAGCGGGTCTGTGTCCTGAGGCCCCCCAGCCCCAAGCATGGCCCCTGTCCTCCCCACAGATGTCTCAGGGCAACCCCAACCTCGGCAGCCTGTTGAACATCAAGACAGAAGCAGAGGGGAGTCCTAACGTGGAGGCCTTGCCCTTCCTGGGCAAGGCCGCGAAGGCGCTGGTTCAGGAGAAGCTGCCGGAGCCCTGGAAGTTGTACCTGCGCAGGTGAGGGGCCAGCGGGGAGAGCCAGGGGGAGGGAGAGGCCAGGCCACCTGTCCTGGTGGCCGGCGCCCAGCCACACTGCACACCCGGCCTCACCGGAGCGCCAGGGTCTCCTCTAACCAGCCCGCTCCCCTGGCCAGGTTCGGTACCAAGGACTTCTGCGACGCCCAGTGTGACTTCCTTCACAAGGCCCACTTCCACTGCGTGGTGGAGGAGTGCGGCGCGCTGTTCAGCACCCTGGACGGGGCCATCAAGCATGCCAAGTGAGTTGGGGTCCCCGGAAGGGGCCTGTTTAAACCCAGCCCCGTGCATTTATCCATGCTCGGCTCGGGGCCCCGTGGGGCTGGAGGACCCATGTCCATTTCCCACCAGACCCCCAGACGCTGGGCTGGCTTCTCGGATGCAGGCTTCCCCATGCTTCCCATGCTCAGCCCAGCCTGTCCTCCCAGCTCACCAGGCCCAGGGCAGCCCCAGCCCCACCCCAGGCGCTGCCTGCAGAGCCAGCTGCAGAGCCCCCGCTCTGACCGGGCAGGGACCCCCGGAGAAGGCCTTTCCAAGCCCAAACAGTGCATTTGTCGATTCTCTTTGACCTAAAAATAAAGAAGTTAATTTGTGAAACCCATTGAGCTGAAAAGCGGCAAGCCTGGCACCTATTGTAATTGAACCCAGAGCTTACAGTCATTTCAAACAGCTCGTCCCTGCTCCCTGCGCCCGGATCAGGCTCAATGCTACGCAGCCCCAGCTGCTAGTCTGCAGAAGAGCCGACTAAATACCAAGACCCACCTTTGAATTTCAGAGCAGGTTCTGGAAGGATGGGCTTCATGAGGCCAGGGCTTGCTGTCCACCAGCCCCCTCCGTGTGGGGAGGAGTAGGGACAGAGGTCACTGCAGGAAGGTGTGCTCGGACTGAGCCAGAAGCCAGAGTTCAGGACTGGAGTGCACACCTCCCACTCAGCCCTCCCTGCTGGCGGCGATTGGCACTGGGGGCGAGATGGGGACACTGGGCCCTGGGCTTCTGAGACAGGCAGGCCCGCCACGCCCAGGCCTGCCCAGCAGGGGAGGGCGGACCTGCCCGGAGGGCCCGGGGGCCCACTGCCCACCTGAGACCCCCATTCTGCCTCTTGCAGCTTCCACTTCCGGACGGAGGGAGGAGCCGCGAAAGGCAATGCGGAGGCCTCCTTCCCGGCCTCGGCTGCTGAGACCAAACCTTCCTTGGCCCCCTCGTCCCCGCCGGCGCCGCCCGTCACCACGGCCACGGTGTCCTCTCTGGAGGGACCCACTCCCAGCCTGGCCGCGGTGCCCTCCGCCCCCACCCTGCTCGCCTGGAAGCAGCTGGCTTCCACCATACCCCAGATGCCTCAGATTCCAACGTCAGTGCCTCACCTGCCCACTTCGCCCTTGGCAACGACTTCTCTAGAAAACGCCAAGCCCCAGGTCAAACCCGGATTCCTCCAGTTCCAGGAGAAGTGAGTCCCTCGATGACCCGGGAGTCCCGTGTCCCCCGCGTGTCTCGGGAGTAGGTGCTGGCAAGGACCGCCGAGGGCGCTGCCGCCCGGCCTGCAGCTAGCCCCGGCCGTGCCCGGCCTCTCTGGGACCCGGTCATCGGGCAATGTCCTTCTAGCCAAAGATGCTGCTGCTCTGACCCACGTCCTGTGCCCAGAGCAGGTGGCCAGGGTGGGGGAGATGGTGGTGGTGGTGGCCGCTGTTCCAGAGGCCGGTGGTGACCCTGCAAGGACCGACGCAGGGGGCCGGAGT